CTAACTACGACTAAATCAAGTCCTAGTTGTAGTTCAGCTGAAGACGACTGGCAAGCAACAACTATCAAACTAACCAATAAAAAGAGCTAATTTTAATAGCAGACAAAATTTTAGAGATCCGGTAATGCGGAAGAATATTAAACTGCCGTCTGTCTTTCAAAAACATATTTCCTCATAATTCATAATTGCCCATTATTCGCCTAACTAATATTATATACTATTAACTGTATTAGTCGTTAAACATCAAATGACAGAGAATTTGAACTGTCACTAAAAATTTGCTTTCTTTAGAGAACTATTATAGCTGAAGTCATGCGAGGGCGGCGCCATCTTTGTTGTTACAGTAAATCTACGTGACCGCAACGCGAGAGGATTTCGTGCAAATCTGTTGCATGTGGCTTGCAAAACATGCTAATTTCGCCCTTTGGAAGCTAAACGTAATGTCCCTTTTCTAGAACACAGTGGAGATACATCAGACCTACTTATACAATCGTTTTTATTCATTTAACTTTATCGTAAATTACAAAAAGCACGTTTTCATTGGGGTAAATATTTCAAGTCGGCGATTTAGCCCAACCCTAGGCTGACTAAAAAAAATCGGCCTGCGGAGGCATAATTTTAGGCGAGGTTCGCGTCATTTAGTCGTAGTGCTAGTCAAAGTTTGTTTTAAGAATACGAAATGACGTAATTTTTAAGTTTTAGCTCGAACTACGACTAAAGTTTGTTTTAAGAATACCGGGGTTACTTTCAATAAAATAACTGCAGAAAGAAGGGAACACTAAAATAATCAATATGTTTACAGTACATTTTAAACTAACAATTTTCTACCAGGAGGTTAGGCCTAACTAATAGCACCTAATAAACTTCATCAAGCACAATCAATTTATTCATCTTCATCATGTCATGAAGAGCTGCAAGCAAGCAGTCACTGCAATTAGCAGTTTGATTATAATTTATGGCCTAAATACGTATAAAACACGGTGACTGACTTATAAAGCAGTTATTTTCAAGTTATTTCATACCGTGTAGAAGCCCCAGTGAGTACTGAGCAATGCCCTTGTCCATTCTAGTTGTTTCTTTTAAACATTTAAAAGGCATATTATTTTAATGGGTTTTTTTTTTTACATGTTCTGCTCAGTGGGGAGGGGGGGGGAGATGGCCTGGTTTAAACAGTGTTACCCCAGTGTTCTAAATCTAACCAAAACAGAAGAAGCTGTTGCCTTTCATTGATTGATAGTATAGAAAAAACCTGCATTTTCTTGGATCCCCTGTCATGTCATAGAATATTAAAAGACTGATAAAAATTTGATTAATAATTATTCTCATTTTAAAAATTAAATTATAAAGTACACATGTCATTTTTTTAAATTCAAAATAAATACGGTATAATACATAAAATTTTTTTAATGTTAGAATTTTAAATCTCATATAGAGCATCATGAATTTGCCTCCATGTGCTTCATATCACTAAAATCTGTCCATTAATGATAGGTAGTGATAGGATAGTAGTATTAATACTGTAGTTACTAGTATGGTCATGGTAGTTAGTACTGTAGTACTATGATGAGATAAGAGAACAGCTCATAAATCCAGGCTTTCATCTAAGCCTGAAAAAAAAAAAAAAATTCACAAATTTAATATACAAATGTCTTCCTGAAGTTTAACTTTAAATATGAGGCGACAAGTAGATATTAAGATATCCATGTAATGTTCTATATATAGAATTCTAAATATAAATTTTATTTAAAATAGCTTCATGTAATAGAAGAATGAACGTTAAAACTCAATAAACCTAGATCAGAATAAAGATCGTGAAAGTGCAAGTGCACACACTATCATAGAATCATAGTTAAAAAAATTGATATTTGTTTGTTTATTCATCCATCCATCCATCCATCATGCTCATTCAATCTTCCTTCCTTTGAGTTGAGTAACCTTTTTGTACTAATCATAACACTGCTTTTCTGAAGGCTTCTACACAATAGTAATGCCAAATACTTTTATAACCCATAGTATTTGTAATCCAAAACTTAATTATTACAAACACAGCTTCAATATTATTTCACTGTCATTGCCAACACCTAGATATGGAAATCTTCATATGAGATTATCTGAGTAGTGATTTACAAATCTAATAATATCTATAAAATTGAGTGTAGTAAATTTGTAATAACTGTCCAGCTGCCACCTGGGCCCTAAACACTTACAAGGGTAATAATGAAACAACAAAATTCCAGTCATTTTTGTTCTCTCGGAACTAAACTAATATCTATTTGTACTATGAAAATGACAATAAATTGAATGAATGATGAAACCTAGGCATATTCTAGAGTGAAAGAGAAATTATGGTGTTGGTCAGTTAGGGACTATACAGCATAGTCTAGACTGTTGTGAGTTGGGAGTTTTCAAATTGGGACATGTCCAAGATATTTTATTTAATCTAAAAAGGTATTATTGCATAGTCATCTGCAGTCAGTAGTTGGATCTAATTCAAATTATCTTGTCCTTGACTTTGATCATTCTAACAATAGCAGTAACAGTTTCTGTTAATTATTATTATTTTCACATCCTATATTTTTTATTCTCCATCGTAAATATTTATCTGGGTCATGGTTAATAAAGCACATACTATTTATATATTTATGAATATTTGACAGAAAACAAATAAAGAAGTTGTCAAATAGGATACTTACAACCCAACACAAAAGTGGGTATTACTACGTGATCTCAATTTACATGTACTGTAGTATAGGCATATTGTATTTTAAATAGTAGTATAATACAATATGTCTGTGTACTATGAACATTCTTTTAAATCGTAGGTACAAATTTACATTTACATTTTTGTTTTGAGTTAAACATTTGTATTGCTCACTGTGTAAGTAAATTATGTAGCTTTGAATTGAGTGTTTAAACTAGAACCTGTTTCCATACCAATGCCAATTAGCAGATATATTAATTACTATTCTCTGATTTTCTTAAGAAAAAAGTACTTGTGAAATATAATCTGTATTATAAATCAATCATGACATCTTTAACTTAATTCCCAATGTTATTTTCCTATCTCAAACTGTGCACTAATTTTGCATTAGTGCACAGTTTTCTAAACTTTTTTGTGTACAAAAGGTCAAAACGACTAGGCCAATGTATCGCGCACCACTATGAATATTCTAGGCTGGTGTTTTTACACGCACCTATTTAGCATTACAATGAACTTTTCATGCATTAATCTAACCTTTGTATAATAATTACCACTAGCGTATGGTGCTATACTGTACTAATGGCTGACTATTTAGAATGTGGTTGTATGTGTGTAAATGAGTTGCATCATAAAAATGAAAATAATTCTGCACAAATGATATAAAACAGCAATGATATAAAATTTCAGTAGACATTAGGAAAGATGAGATACAAATCCTCAGGTATCTATAAAAGAATGAAAATTATACAATGGTCCATAAAATCTGTTTATTTATCATGTTCATTATTCTGCCGACTAGGACACAACTCGTATTATTTCATATTAAGTTCAAGAGGTAATGAATCCGATGAAATTAAAATCTTATAATTCCAGTGAAGTTTCACATCTTGCTTCAAAAAAAGTACTTTAAATCCCTGTAGGTTGCCTTATGAGCAATATCGATGGATAGATTACTACCAATTTGAGTTTACCATGTCCTTCTTCACCTTGTTAAAGTTTATGTTGCACTTTTCGGCACATTTTGAGTTCACAATATTGACATGGTTTCCAACGGTGGAAAAGTCATTCCTGTCACTAGGACACATTGAAATATCATGTGCCCTTTCCAGGTGCAAATTTGACTATCATGCCTAAAGTAATCATCCTATTTTACTTCATTATTTTCTTTTCCTTTGTCTTTTTTTAAAACTGATCATCTGATGTTTAGTGGAAACATAAAATCATCATAAAAAAGACCAAAACAAATTTTTTTTGAAGGCCTTGGATATACAGAATGAAAGCTAGGCTTTTGTGATGATTTTCCTGTACTTAAAATGATACATGAATGCCATACCTTCATCGTCATCTCTTACCTGAATAGGACCATAATCAACAACTGAGAATATATAAACATTCATCTACGATTTATCTAAATCCTACGCATTACAATGGCGTGTCACTAAACTTGGATGAACCAGTGAAAGCACAAATCCAGTTGGGATTACTACGTCAATAGCACGCAAAATATTTGTAATTTCGGAAGTGGGATATTAGGTATCCGAGTATACTAAACCATTGTCTTAAGTTGGTAAGCTTCCCTTGAAATTATCTAAAAGAAGCGTTGATTTTGTGTTGTCAAATGCTTCTTACTTATCATTTATTTATTTAAACTTTATTTATAAAGTGTAACCCTTTCAGCTGACCCCGAAGGCCAGTTGATGTTCAGGGGCCATCTTTAAAACTTCAATAAAATACATACATACAATAATTCAAACGAAGGCCTATAAAACTGTACACCAACAAGACAAAAATAATTGTCAAGATAGCATTATTATATATAAGCATGTAATAATAATAATATTAATATCAATAATAATACAATATAGTACTGCATTGAATTTCGTTAGGACGGTGTGTCTTCCGTAAAGCTGCATTCTGGGTAATATTCTACATGTATAAATTAAAACAAATTATAAATTCTAATTGTTTTGTTAACATGGTCATTTGGTCATTCTTTCCTTGACCAACAGTCTTAATATCTAAGTCTGTTAACTTTATATACTTCTATAATTATCCTTTCTGTGTAACCTTATATAGTTTTGACATGCGTATACATTTCAGAAACAGATGCCAAGTCCAAATTCATTGCAGATCATTCATGCATATATATATGTTGCAATAAATTCTGTGTTGGATTCCCTATTGAAACCTTTGAAAATCATGTATCTCTTGAAATTCCCTCCCCCTTTCAGGTGAAGTAGCATCACCTTACTAGGTACCTCTCGTGTTAAATCGCATATCTGTACAAGCTCCCCCTACCTTTGATTATTATTTTATTTTATGTTTTTGTTTGACAGGACATTAGGAATAGAATGAAAAAATTAAAATTTTTATTTATTGGACTTCAACAAAATATAGCGTAGTTCAGTCATGAGCTGATGTCATAATAAAAGTAATCCAGCAATGACTGAAAATACGAACATGCTGAGCAATTGGCTTAACGACTATGATGACAGCCTTTAATAGATCAGCTTTATTAAATTTTTTTTTTTTTACATTTTTTTAGGTTTTATACATATGGGAATCGTCCATTGGAGGAAAGCCTACAACAGATTGATACACAAGTATTAAGGAGGTTTGGAAAGATCCAGCCGGATACAGTGGTTCCGGATGAAGCAAGATGGACTGAACCGGTAAGATACTAATCTGGTTTCAGATAATGTTAATAGTAGTGACGATAATGAAAACGAAGATGATTCCAAGGTTGAGTGAAATAATGTTAGCAGTGACTCGAATGTTAAATGGATTATGACCATTTTATGGTGATATTTGTCAACTCATCTATGCTAATTATGTAATTGTATTTAATTATGTAATTATAGTTGTGAAATATGTTTTCCCAGAACTCAGAACCAGATGATGGTAAGGGTAATTTAAAAAAAGAGCATCAATATAATATCCAAGTTTAATCCTCCATCAGTTGATATTCAAGCTAAATTTAGATGCCTGTAGTCAAATTCAAAAATTCAAAAATACCTTTATTGGCAAGCACAGTATACAATGATATAAAATAAAGTCATAAATTTAAAATACATTTAAAGAAAATTTATAGGATTAATTAACAATTTGATATTTATTTACATGAAAAAGGATTTTATTATTTATAAAAATATAAAAATATGCAGATTTACACACGCAATTAAATCACATTCAAAACACAAACAAAACACATTAAACATCACAAAAAAGAAAAATCACACAAAAAAAAAAAACAAATGTACAAAACAAACACACAAATCATTATCACATAAATCATTATGTGTTAATGATTAGTACATTGCAAACATGAGAAACCAGCCATCTTCCAGTGACCATGTGTTTTCTCACTTTGCGACTCCACCATGCATGGTTTTCCTAGATCATATAAATACAAAAATGATGGTGGCAGCAGACATATGCTGTCATCACACTTAATAACTTAACTTCTTAAATTTAAAAACCAACAATACAAACATTAATACAATAAAAACATTAAGTTATTTCTAAATTTCTATCTAATTTAAGTTCCAGAAAATGAAAAAAAAAAATAATGAAATGTAGAATTGTACAAACTGACATAGGTTTGCTCGAAAATATGTATGCAAAGATTTTCAAGTCCATTTAATAGAAGTGTTCGTATCTGACCCATATAAAGGCAACATAAATAGATCTAGATATTTTTTTGTAAATAAATTCATAATTTAGTGAAAAATTTAGTAGTTTTGATAAATGCTAATTTCATTTTTATAGTTTTTTCTTAGCTTTCTATTTCAAACTAATTCTCATTTTTATATTAATGTTATCTTTTTGTGCTTTTATTTAATTGTTTTTAGCTTCTACTTTTTGTAAAGTGACTGTGCTTTTTCTTTTTTTTTTTTTTTGTTACAATAGTTAAAAAAAAATGTTTTGCATCACAAACAAAAGCTCTTTATCTAGTATGCTAATTTAACAAATCCATTACAGAATTTGTGAAGGCTGATAAAATATCACTAATAATTGAGGTATCATTTGGTACCCAAGGACAAGGCCAGGTTTACCTTCAGTATTTGAAGCATTAAATATATTCCATGTTTCAAAATCAGCCTAAAGATCAAGGTAATGTTTGCAAAGTGGAGAGTTACACTTCACTGATAATGTAGCATTTTATATGTAAAGAAAAGTGTTTAATTTCTTCAATGTGACTACTTCAGCACCATTTAGATGTTCTGCTATTAAGGAGGGAATGCATACATGATATTAGTTTTAATGTTAAAGTTGTACTGTGAGTTTGTTATTGGTAAGTTTTGTTTGCCCATTCTACTTTGTATCTCTTTTTAAACATAAATTGTGCTAAAATTTAATTTAAGTGCTAAAAAAAGAACATTAAATGTAGATTTAAACTTGTTCATATTCAACTTGGAAATTTGGATTTAAACAATGATGCCTTGAAACAACCTCTGAAGCATTTTGGGTCAATAATTTCTTTTACTTTCCTTTTTTTTTATTTTCCAAAAGGGGCCTCCGCCACTCTCCTCCCAAATCTGCCACTAGGTTTTGACCCTTCAGAACAGACGCAAAGTAGCTTCAGTTGTAACAAAATGCAAATGCATACGAACATTATCATTAAACTCGCCTCTCTCATGAAAGAGTTATTTGAGGAGCTAACCCCAGTATTGTTAAAACAAACTTTAGTCGTAGTTCGAGCTAAAACTTAAAAAATACGTCATTTCGTATTCTTAAAATGAACGTCGACAAAAATATACCTCCTCAGGCCGATTTTTTTAGTCAGCCTAAGGTCAGGCTAAATCACCGACTTACATATTTACCTCACTAAAAATTAGCTTCCAAAAGGTGAAATTAACATGTTTTGCTAGCTAAATGCAAACCTGATTTGCATGAAATCCCTTTGCATTGCGGTCACGTAGCTTCACTGTAACAACAACAAACATGGCGCCGCCCTTGCCTGACCTCAACCATAATAGTTCTCCAAAGAAAGCAAATTTTCAGTGACAGTTCAAATTCTCTATCGTTAGATGTAAACAACTAATATACTTATTATTATATAATATTAGTTAGGCGAATAATGATCTATTATGAATTATGAGGAAATATGTTTTTGAAAGACAGACGGCAGTTTAATATTCTTCCGCTTTACTGGATCTCTAAAATTTTGTCTGCTATTACAATTAGCTCTTTTCATTGGTTAGTTTGGTAGTTGTTGCTTGCCAGCCGTCACTAAATGAAGTTCTGGTTTGAAGTTCAACTAAAGTTCATTTTAAGAATACGGGCGTAAATGCTTACACCTGGATTCAAGCATCGACTTCAGACTGGGTCCACAACTGTAAGAGGCAGGAACCAGTATTACTACAGCTCAATTATGAAATAAAATTTTATTAATTTTGTGGGTTTTTGATTATATAATGTAGTTTAATGTAGTTAGATTTATATAGCGGTTTATACCGAAGTCTCAAAGTGTTTAGGTGTGGACAAGCTTGTGCAGGAACATCCTTCTCCTCTAAGGGTCTCTTTGTGCCTGAGCTACCCAGTAAACTGATGCCAGCTTCTCTCGTTGGTCCACGGCACATGCTCTATGGAACGTTATACCAGAGTAACCTCCTAATCATCTCAATAGATGTAATGGGTTTTTAAAGCCCTGCTTCTCAACCTTTTTTAGGCGGCAACCAACTTTCAGAATACACATTCTGTGTCGACCAAAGGCATGTACATTATTGTCATACCAAAGTGATATTGTCATATTATGTGTTGATTACTTAGACCCCAGGGACTACAAGCCATCAAACTGAGCTAAGTCAAACACAATGTAGCAGTGAAAAATCGTTCCAAATTTTATTTAGTGTACTTAGCAAAATACACAAGACTTGATATTTTGTGCTGAATGTTCAAGTTTATAATGTTATGGAGGAATGACTGCTTCGAAATAGAGGGGGCCCTGGGAAGGACTTAAAAATAGGTTGTGAATACCACCTCAGCCCCTATAGTTGGGGCTGAGGTAAGAAAATTTATGATTACGGCACCTCTAGATGGCCAGAATTTGCACTCTTGGACTTAAATTTGAATATTTTTTTTCCCTTCATTTTTTAGAATAAAAAAAAAATTAGATGGAAGGTGGCGGCTGGGTCCCCATTGAATCCGCCACTTTGGAGAACATTTGCTGCGCTCATAATTTTGAAATGTTAAAAACAATGACGAATTTTCCACTTGGAAATCCACTTGGTCGAACTAACTCAAACAGCAAAGCAATTAATCATTTTAAACATTTGGTTTATTAACTGGTACGTCTTGTTAATGTGAGGTATATTCCTGCCTAATTTTTATTGCCTTCCTTGAAGAGATTGGTGATAGTGCAACCATTAAAAGTTGATTCTAGGTTTTGAGTTGACAATAATTTCCAGCTCTCTTAAGTTGGTTCCTTTGTAGGACCAGTCGCTATGCAGAAGTATTTTCCACTATGCTTTGAGATGTGCTTTATACCAAATTAATTTTTTTTTTTGAAAGTCAGAAGCAATCTCGCAACCCTCGGAAATGTATTGGCAACCCAAAATTGGGTCTCGAAGCAGGGCTTTAAAGTACACATGAGCCTAAACTTTATAGTCCTAAAGAAAAGACTTGTTCTTCCACCGATGTTATACCTATAGGTTACAGCGCCCCTGCCTTAACTGCTTGGCTGTTCGACTTGCTTAGAATATTGTTGAGCTGAAATCACTATACAAGGTGACTATCACATACAGCAAGGAGCTTTAAGTAAATATAAGGCCATTTGTAATTTTCCTAAGTCATTATTGTCAAATTCTGAATTGCTCTGCCAGACTCCACGCCCTTAATTAATTAAAGGAAGTGATATTGATGGGCCAATTAAAAGTAGATATATATGTCCATTTGTAATTGTAATTTTTCTACGTCGTCGTATTCCTTCAAATTGCTGAACCAGACTCCATAGGCATAATTTAGTGAAGAAAGTGCACTTGTATTTAGAGATGTTGCCATAAAATTATCAAGGTTTTTGGTTATATCTTTATTATATGAAATTAATTGGTATTTTTGAATAGTAAGTTGGTAGTGACCATGAGGTTTAGGTTCAATGAAATTATAACGCCCACATATATCTGAATATCTTACTTTTTATAGATTTTTATTTAATTATTTCCTGTTTTTCTTGATTTTATGCATTTTTCAGTGACCATTTTATTGATCTTTTCATAATTAAAGCATAATTTCCATTCTTTTACATATTTTAAAATATAATTTTATGTTAAATGTATTCTACTAACACAGCAAAAAGACTTCTTTATTCAAAAAGCATTTATTCTATCTTCTGCATTACTTTTTGTTTGCCACCATTTCTTTGCAAGAGTCCGACAATTTTCTACATCATTTTTTAAATAAAATTGATGATTTGACTTAAGCCATAATATTTCAAATGTGTCCTCTAATATGTTCACAAAAACAATAGTGACAATATAATTCAATTTCAGCAAGGTTTCATTAACACAAAATAAAATGATTTTACAGAACTATAGTAATAATAAACATTTTATTTAATTACTGAAACACTTGTTCACCTATATATATTGTATGTGATTTTTGTTAGTTTATTCTTCTTTTTTCCACCATGCCTTACCTCATTTTTTGTCAATTCTCTGAATAATAATAAAGTACATTTTCTTGGTACAGATTCATCCGTATAAATGCCAAGCTTGTTAGTTGCGTTCAATGATTTTTAAGCATGTCTTAATGAGTAAAATAAACCCAGAAAACCTACTTATCCCAACACTTTTGCTTTATTGTAGAGAGAAGCAGAGGTTTACTGTACTCTTGACCCCATGGCAGCTGATCCAACGAAACAAACGACAGTTAATGTTAGTTATCTCTTAGGCAGGTAAGGATGATGATGATAGCGGTGTTTATTGATAATGTAGTGTTAATGTTGGAAAATGATGGGTGAATGAGCTTACGCAAGAGTCAACGTCCACCCATGCTTAGTTTAAGGAGCAGGATTTTTTATATGCTAGATTAATAATAACAGAAATTTGAACCGTGCGCTTCCCCAAAGGATACAAGGCGATTAGCTTTTTTTTTTTTTTTTTTTTTTTTTTTTTTTTTTTTTTTTTTTTTTGTAAAAGAATATCACATAGAAGCCATACATAGTGTGATATATAAAACAAATAATTTATGAATATTGATGAATGAGAATAAATATATTTAATTTCTTTATAGAATTACAGATCCGTTTGAGTCATTTACTGCCAGTGTTTTAGGAACCCTACTGGTATCTGGTCCAACGTCTCCTTTTTATAAAGCCTTGCTAGAAGCAAATATTGGCTCTGACTATTCACCTGTGGTGGGGTAAGTTCCTGCATACAAGTTCTTAAAAGTTTTGTCACAGTGTAGTAATAATAATTAATTGTATTGCATTGATTTTATATATATGATTAAAAGTACTACAGACGGTATACCTTGACTTTATTGGATTCAGTGTAAAAAGACTTTTTGGTGGGGTCCTTCTGGTGGTGAATTTAGCAGTACGAAATGAGAAATTACTTTACTTGAGAGATATTGGAGCAAGGTGTGGATTTGTACAGGAGTGGGTCACTGAAAGGAAACTTTCACTAGTTCTCAAGGAACATCATAATTCAAAAGGACCTATCTATGGCTTAAAATATATGAGACCATTTAAAATCACATTTCAATGCGAGAGCTATGACACTCTTCTAGTCTTAAGAATTTGGGTTAAAATCTCTAAAAAGTATATTTAAATTGCCTCAATTCAGAAGGAAGGCTATGACATGCTTCAAAATCCCAAGTGGCAATAATTAACGTTAGCAAAATCATGTCAGTAATTTTGCTTGTTGGGATATCCTAAGTTTCTACCCACTGCATTGAGTCCCTTTAACAGTCTATCTTACTCGCCTGGAACTGTGACAGGAAAGGACCTGTCTGACCCCCTCGAAAAAATAACATATTCCCGGATGCATTATCGACAGGAAACTCGGGCTAAGCACTGTGAGAACTACTAATCAATTTTAGCAAAAAATGCAAGTTTTAGTTCCTTTAAAGTATATCAGTTTTAAGTAGCCAAATGACCTTTAAGTTGATCGAATTTAGACTTTATTCTTCATTCTAGATTTATGTGTTGAATTTAGTTAAAAAATATTTAATTATTTAAGTCAGTAGACCATCCAATATAGAGACTGCGATGGAGAGTATGTTTAAAGTCCAGGATTAAATAGGGCTCACATTAAATTATTATGCAGTTATGCGGGACAGTGACTAATTTCCAGATGTTGAACATCTTTATTTAAAGTGAATCATGCTTTAATTCTAGACTCTATGTCTTTACCAATCATTAAAAATAATAAACAAACGCAAGTTTTTCCTTTATGTGGTTTCGTTTTAACGTTGTCTTAATATGATTTTCAGGTAGAAATCGAAGTTTACGTTGAATCTCAGTCCATTGAGCAATTTCTTGTAATTGTTAAGATTGTTTTAACCCTCTCAATAGATAATTTATAGTGTTATCAGTGAGATATCATCCTCACAGGAGTGATGCTAAGTTGTGTTACTGAACAGGTTCGATTACAATTGTTCAGTAAAGGTTAATAGACCTATTCAACTTTATTTTCACTTTCAATAGTAAATTGTATTTCAATAAATATTCTGTGGCTATATCTAATACAGGTGAATTGGCATGTGAACAATTCAAATGAACTATACCTTGTGGAAAGAAAACAATAATATGAAAATACCATTAATAATTATTATATTTATTAACGTCAGTGCTAAAATTGATATTGTTGTATATTGAGTATTTGAGGAATTCATATGAAATGCTAGCGTAACGATTTGTGTCTAAACGTACCTTACAGTGATTAATACGAGAATTGTTTTGGGAATCTGCTGCCTGCTGTTAATGATTATTTTAAACAAAATTTTATTTTTGGCCTACCACCCACAGCCATTATAGAAATTTAAATTTCGTTTTTCATGCCCACGACATGTTATCTTCCCAATAAGAAAAACTTTACTTCTGCTTCGCAATTAAATATATATAAAGTATATAAATAATGTTTCAAATGCTGCATCACAATCTTACTACGATATTGTGGAAAGGTGACCTATACCTCACATACTATCATTTTCTTATTCATCGTTAAAATTTAATTCCCATGCTCTCATCTGCTTAGATGCTTTCGGAAGAAGCATTTGCTAAATGAGAACTGTAATTACACTCTTTTCTATTAAGATCACAAGGTATAAAAAGAGATTCTTACTTTATTTTGTATACTGTATTCCAGCACAGCCATAATTACTGACTTAATTTGATATGATAAATGCTACTACTACACCAATAAATCTGGAAGAGTACATAGCGATATAAATCTGGACTGTATTGGCAGTCACATTAGTGACCTTCAGCATTCTGTTTCTTTGCCAACTGAGCTAAATTGCCTTCGCTGGCAAACACAGCACAGTACTTTCTTTGCTCAAGGAGCCTGGACCGATATTTTCCACATGCACAGAGTCTACAAATATCTATAATTCCAACAAAAATTAAAAACTTGTCAATGGCTTGGCATTTGCAAAAGACGATAATGGAAAAATTTGGAAATTGCAAAGGTAGTACCTAAATTAATCTGTGTATATTGTTGTTGAATTGTTCTGAACCACAGAATCTAAACATCATATGTTGTGTCAACTCACAGTTATGACAAATCCTAGTTCCATTGATCGATCTTCTAATTAACCATTAAATCTAAATTTCTCCCAATCCTATGATTAAATGATTCATGCATTCTATGCAACTCAAATCTGCAGTCAAAAGTATTATTGCTCTCTAGTGATTGATAGATCGGTTGCCATGGTAACAACTTTAACTCAACCTAAAAATTAATTCAAGATTCTGTATCTTTCTTTTAAAAAGAAAACTAACTAAAAGAAAACTAACTAACACTTCCAACAAGAGTACCAAATAATTACAGGTGGATAGATCACCTTTGTTGGATGTTGGGAGATTATTATTTTAGAATATGTACATAAGGCCAAGTAAAAAAAAAAACATGTTTCGCGTCCCCGCCCGCATCGTTTTTTTCGCCCGCCTTGATTTTTTTATTTTTGGAAAATTCATGAAAATAAAGAAAAAATATATCGAAAATTTAGAATTAAATGTTGGAAAATAAATACCCTAGCCTAAAATAGTGCAATA